TTACAAAAACGTAACACGTAATAATATTGAACTGTAACAACCACCTTTGTGAGCCCTGCAAGAAAAAACAAAAAGGTATTAAAAAGGGCACTGATGTGAAACTTATGATTGATTCTGAATTTAACTTCCATTGTCAGGTAGATCTTACCGATTCCCAGTCTCAGCCAGATAGAAAATATAAATTTGTTATGCTGTATCAAGATCACCTCACTATCTTTTTTTTACATATTTCGAAGAACAGTTTTCTAACGGCACTCTTTCATTAATTTTTCAAAATAACATTTGTATTTTAAAGGAATGAACATCTTTTAAATAATAGCCTTATCATAACCTTTTTCAAACTTTGCCTAAAGAGCATTTGTCATTCTATAGGATGCCTAGGTATTATATACAATGCCTAGGTAAAGTATGTAATATTTCTTTTATTTCATACTTTGCCTAAAATCAACTGGCATTACATTGCCTAGGCATTCTATAGAATGCCGGCGTTTCATACTTTGTCGGTAACATATACATATTAGCTTGCATGCTTAGAATTCAGACTACAGATAAATTTTGTATATCACTTCTCAAGGAAATAAAACCTGTTGTCACTACATTTATGATAATTTGTTTCCTTGAGAATCTTTATTTAAACCTTTCTCAGTCTTAATTTTTCCCTCTGAATTTCTAATCCCCAAAAAGGTTTTCTTAGTGATAAACATTAATATATGTTCTATCCTGAATTCAAAAATGCATATTTTTGTCAATAAGCAGTTATTTGTTTGATCTACATGTGATATCCCATTCACTGATTTCTAGTTTTCCCAGCAATGTTCTATAAACAATATATGCAAGTTCTATAAACAACCTGATGTAATAAATTTCTTCAAACTAAAGAGACTTAAGTTGGCTGGTTATCTGGCCAGAATGCATGAAAATTGGTGCTGTAAGAAAATCTTTCTGTCAAAGCCCATGGGAACCAGACCTCGGGTGAGACTCACTGTGAGATGGATTGAATGTGCTCAAAGTAACCTAAGGATTCTAAAGATCAAAAACTGGAAAAGAGTTGCCCAAACCATAGATGTCTGGAGAAGGCCAGGGCCCATTCTGAGCTGTAGAGCCACAAAGAAGATGATGATGACATTTCTGATTTATAAACCATTGTCAGAAATTTTTATTCATAAACTTTTTTCATTCTTTATCACAATCATTCTAAAAATGTGTAAACACTTTATAAATTTTTAACACTTTTATAAATGCTTACTTAATCTTTTTCCATGGGCTATAGAGGCTTTTTTTTTTTTTTTTTTTTTTTTTAATTTACTGAAGCCACTTTTTCAACTATTCCATCAGCAAAGAAAAATAAATAACCACAATTTGCCATTTCCTGCTCCGTATTACACAGCAAATTTTAAATCTTCATAATAAACTAAATTTCTTTCAATGTGGTGAACATATGTGACTCATTTAATGTAGTGAACATATGATACATTTCCCAGACCCCTGGAAAAGGTTAATCTACTTTCACTGAAAGAAAAATGTACTAGTATTAAAATACTTGTAGATTCATTTATATAGTAAAATAAAAATTCTATGCTTGAATAGAATATTAAAAAATTAGGAGAAAAAAAGGGGGAATTTGCACAACTATGTTTTGGGTGCATAAATTAGAAAACTAACCTGAGATCTAAAATATTTGGCACTATGCAATGATGGGGCACTTGAACAATTTTTGGCTCACCAGTAGTGCCAGAAGTCTGCATAATATAAGCTAATTGTGAACTATGCTTCTGAAAGTTTTTGTATAACATTCTTGATCTTGAGCATGAGTCAGCATTACAATTAGATGACTGCAGTATACAGATCTTTGATTTCATCAAAAATTCATTCGATTTCTTTTCCCAACAAAAACACAGCTGATTTTTAAAGTTCTGAAAGAAAAAGAAAAAACAATATTGAAAATTTTAAAGTTATTACTGATTGCATAGAGCAGTGTATAATTTCTCTCATCAGGAATAAAATTCAATTAAGTATTACACTAGATTTCAATCTAGTTATTTTGGATGCTGGATTTTCAATACTATATTAAATTATCTTAATCTTTACATCATCAATTTACAGCCGTGGCCAGGGCCAGTTTAAGACTATTACCCATTCGTGGGCTATACATATTTAGTCATTCCTACATATGCAGAATATAAGCAAATTGAAAAACCTAACTCAAGTGTGGGAACCTACTGGTATATTTTCATGATAACTCTCTATAGCTGACACACATAAAATAACCCACATAAATACAACATGCACAAATTTTGATTTTATTCAAACAGAAAGCATACAAAGTGCCACGCAGATATATTTCAAAGTACTTGTAAACTGCATTCTTCTTGCTTTCATATTTTTTAACTGATCAATAACCTCAGATACTTCTAAATTCCCATATAATACCTCTACTACAACTAGAAATCTTAAAAAAAGAAAGAAAAAAAAGAGAAAAAATCGTCATACACTTTGTTATACAACTTTGTAATACCACAACAATTTTTACCAGTTTTTCATAATTAAAAAGTTACAATCAAATTAGAAAATATCAGTTTATTATTATTATTTTGCGATATGTAAAGTTCTGAAATAGTTCTGCAATTTCACTATGAAAATTCTACATGTTACTACCATTAACACTTGTACTTTCTTTAATCTGAAACAAGCACATCAAAATAAAATTTAAAAAAAAAAAAATCCCCATGTTGCTAGTGGCTTAGATTTACAAAGATATTGAAATATGTTATATTAATTTAACATATTTCAATATAATGCTAAATTTATTCTTGTACGTAAATTTTTCCATCTCCAATATATTTATTAAATGCTCATCAGATCAGAGAAGTTCATCCAAAATATTAAGCTTCATTTATATTTGATTAAGAGGACTGCATTTTACTTAAAAAATCAAACTTAGACATAATATCCTATCATATTAATGAAGAAAATAACCTGAAACATACAATCTGATCTAATGAACAGCACATAATTTATTTTCATGTCCTCCAAAATTATCATCTGTCACAGTATTTAATCGGAAGATTTAATTAATCTAAGAGGCCCAGTACTTTTAGTCAACACTCATTTTATATTACTTCAGGATTCATTTTATATCACTTCAGGATTCATTTTATTTCAGTGTTCATCAAGTGATATGACCATTTCATATATTTCAAGACAATAGTGAAGCAACTATTTTTGGCAAAAGAAAAGCTACAAAGACAATCAAACCCCGATATAGTGAACCCCTAGTTATAACAAATGAACTTTTAGGTCCTATCCAATTTCCTATAGACTTGAAGTTTTATATGATAAAGTGAAATTCCAAATGTCTAAAAAAATAGATATAACAAGTTTCCTAAATATCCTAGGGTGAATTTTTTTTTTTTTTTTTTTTTTTTTTTTTTGTTTTGCTCAAACATTTTTCGAGAATTTCTCTAACTTTCAAGTGAAAATTCCTCCTGTTGAAGGCATTATAACAAAAAGCACCTTTAGGTTACTATTTTTTTTTTTTTTTTTTTTTTTTTTTTTTTTTATCTTCACCCCCACCTTTCTCTATATTCTAACAAAAGGCTACCTGCGGCAGGTGCAGCACTCAGTTCTCGGAAAACCAGAACAATAAGCATACCTTAGGAGATTCTACTGAGCCAAAGAACTATTGATCCATTGATATGAAGAGCTTAAACTGGTTCTTTGACTCCATTTGAGCCCTTTGATTGAGCTGTCAGACAGCACACTGTCCAAGGCTGATGTTTGTTCAAAATTCTAAATACATACTTTAGATGGAAATGTGTAACTGGAGGAAAAGATCTAAGCCATGACTTTTACACTAAGTAATTTATACAAAATTAATAACATATGGTAAAACTGAAAAAGAATGAAAAAAATTTAATAATTACATTAATAATAATAAAGCAAAACTTTTGTTCTCTTGAAATTCATAAGGATTAATTATGGGAGGGTTTGACTGTATACTGCCCAAAATTTTAAGATGGTATTTTTGATCAGTTAAACACTAGAACAATGTACTGTGTAATTAATATTTGTATACATAAAAGGAAATAAATAATTAATATTTGTATATAAAAAAGGAAATAAAAACTTTACCTCTAAAAGAATATCTTCAATAAATATAGTTGAAATGGGCACATATTTTTGAAGATTCTGTAGGGAAAGCAACGGATTACGAATATCCAAAAATGCAAAAGATGATGACACTTTCAGGATTCTAAAAGAAATAATGATAGACATAATTACTACAGTTCTATCATGCACCTCACTGAAATAAATTTATTACTTAAGGACTATTCACAAGATTGCATCACAGCAGTTCTTGCCAAGTTGATCATACTTTACCAAAATCCATGGTCTTTATAATTACAAAAACTTTCTTGCTTTATTAAATTAATATCATTAAGACGTGCAACAATTATGATAAATTTTTTAGCAAAATGTTTTGATAAAACCAACAAAATCAGTATACATTTTGATTAAACTAAGAATAGATGCTTTTATATGCAGTAACATATTACAAACACATAATTTCAATTGCAATAATTATACTTCGTAGAAAAGTCACGAAGTCCATGTTAGTTGAATCATCTGAAAATTCATGTGATGCAGAGCTGGGAGAAACTGATGTATAACTTAAGCAGAGTGTTCCAGTATTGCAAGAAAATACACCACTTCCACAAACTAAATATATGTCTCATAGTGCAGACACAGACTTGATTCTAAACCAGGATACTTCTGCTTGTAAAGAATTGGATTCTGTTCATAATTCTAATGCAAACATCGAAACTGGTTTTCAGGAAATAGTGGAAAATAAGCATGCACCAATTGCTAAAAATACTGAGGTGAACTATATGCATGATGTGAACAGACTACAGACTGTGGAATAAACTGTTCAGATCTTCTTGTGGATGAAAAATCTGAAAAGACTTAATCTTCGGACTGTGATATGCAAAACAGAAACACATCTGAGAACTGCAGTGAAGAGTATTTGACCCAGGTATAACTTAATGAAAAGCATGAGACTGAAATTCATTCTGATCTTTAATTTATATAATTTAAATTGTTATGTAATTAATTTGTGTATGTAACTTGCAAATAGTGTAAATACTTGATTCCTTCATCTTTATTTACCTTATTTGTTTGTATGATTTGTAATGAATTTGGCTACTGACCAAGGATTGTACTGCCTGGGACGTGCAGTCCTTGGGAGGGGGAAGTGTTAGGAAATGCCCAGCCATGGTAAGAGAGCTTCCCCATAAAGTGGTTTTAGGTTTGCCGGAAAATTTCAAAGGAAGGCAGGGTTGCCATATTTGGCACAAAATTGCCCATTTAATGACAAAATTGGCGATATGCCATAAACGGATGCAGAACCTTCTGGAACGAATTCTTACCGGTTTGGCCCAGAAAAATCCTGCCTGCACGCAGAGTAGCAGTTAGTCAGTTAACAGTGAGTGTCTCATAGTCTAGCAGTGAGCTGATCATCAGTCTATCGAGTTGATTACGTGTTAGTGCCTCGTCGAGTTTTATCTTGAGTGTGCTGAGCTCCAAGAATGACTGAACCGAGTCGGGAGCTGTACTTTAATGCTTATTGCTGAGTGCATCGTGAGTTGTAGCATGGAGCGTCTCAACAGTATGTAGAGTTCTTAGAATGACTGAACTGAGTCAGGAGCTGTACTCTGGTGCTTTGCCATGAAGCTGTCTCTACTGTTGTAGCCTGATAGCCTGAAGGCTGCGATTGCTGGCTGTTTCAGGGTGCTTGTCGTAATTTTTGGATGACTATAAACGTGTTTTTGGAACTGTCCTGAATAATACTGGCTAAGAAATGTTTTCATTCTTCAGCAAGTGTTGTTATTAACTCCAAATCCATGAACCCATGCATAAGAAAGACGTAACAATATTATTATTATCTACATTATAAGCTATTTAAAAAATCAATCGATAAACCTTCTTACAAGCAATTTTTGGTACTCTTCTGTTATCGGGACCAGATTCAGAAATGTATGTTTGTATGTGGGTATATGTGCATGTACACACAACAAATGTATGTACGTACAATATCTACATGCATACTATGAACACATCTATACATCCATACATGCATATATACATATATTTCTGAATCCAGTCCCAATAACAGAAGAGTACCCAATTTTTTCCCTAGGCTGAAATTTTATAGCACTCTCTTTAAGCATAGATTCAAATCAGTTGTTCCTTTTAGTGATTTTCTGGAAAAAAATACTGTGTTCCTACAGAAATTATACTGTGAACTTGCGAACCAGGCAAAATCAGAAGTGCATATTTTAAAACTGAGTTTAAGACAAAATGGTTAAGGTATATTTGAGGGTGCCCCTTGGATTATCGCAAAGTTGTTGTTTCATTTATGGTAACCTGAGTAGTTGAATTTTATGGAAATCCTATTATAATGTAATTGGTTGCGTGATTGTGGTGAATGTGACTGATGGGAAAATATTTGTTGGAAGTCAGTTAAGAAGTACGTCGCGTATTGTGTACTCTGCAATATAAAATGGCTGCCAGTGGTAAAGTGGATGTTTGGTATTTAAGAACAAAAGAACAAAAGAGCTTCTTTTTTTTTTTTTTTTTTTTTAGGTGGTTGAGAACAGAAGAAAGGAAACTTTTTTGGATGTAATTGAACAGAATTATAAGTGTCCTGTTTGTACGTTATATGGTTTTTAAAGTGAAAATATATCATTGTGTACATAGACAAAGCCAAGGGAGTGTGCAATGCCAAGATTGGCAATTCTTTAATTTTTTTTTTTAAAGTGAAAATAGGTCGATGTGTACATGTCTACCGAGTTCATGCTATTCTTTGACTTGTTATTTTGGATTTGTGTTGTGGCGATTTTTGGCATAAAAATTATATTTAGTGAAAAAGAAAAAAATAATTATGCAAAAAGTTCTGAAAATGAACTCGTACAAGTATTCAGAAACTTTGAATAAACAGTATGTATTTTAGCATTTTAGATCAGGGATTTCACTCCTTTAAAGTCTTTAAAAAGACCGGGTTTTTCATGCCTTATGCTTTCCCCTTTTAAGAAATTTCTTGCTGTAGTGAACAATGGTGATTTTAGGTAGTTTGATTCATCCTGAAAAAGAGACTTTCCTTTACAAAAGGGAGGAAAATTAAGAAATTATTGTCTAAACTGTTTTCCTTATGAAGGGAAAAATTTAAGGTGCAACTGATTCCAAATCAGAAGACTACTCAGTGATACATAAAAGAGAATGTACACTGCTAAAAAAAAAAATGAGACAGTGCTATATCTCCTGTTCTACTGGGCCGATTGACAAAATTCAAATTGCGTTCTTCATGTCTCGAAAGCGTGACTTAGGATATATATTAGATTTATATATAGCACTATTCTAACATAGGTATTTTGACACAAAATCGGACTTTTTCTGAAATAACATACCAATTTTTTTACATATTTCGATTCTACGACTCAAATTACGCCTAAATATGAAATTTTGTAAAATTTGGAGCGAAATTTAACGGAGAGAAATTCACAAATTTATGTTGGCACTTTTTGTTCAGTTGCACCAAGAATAGTTCACTTGGCGAACGTCTTAATATATGGCAACCTTGTTTCCTTTCCAGTGAGAGGAAAAAAAGTCACCATCATTCTTTTTTCCAAATAATATTCTTATATATTTTTTATTATAACTGTTATTATTTTAAGTAATTTTTTCTTTGTCGAATTTCATTTTAATTGTTTAATTTGCATTTTTTTTCTTCGAAAAAAACTGTTTTAAAAATTTCTATTTACCTATTCAAACTGCGTCAATAACGGTGCAGCGTTTATTATTTTTTTTTTTTTTTCAAATAGTTTTCTTTATATATATTTATTTGTCCATAGTTATTATTTTAGGAAATTTTAAAATTTTTATACTTTTATTTTAATTGTTTGTGTTGCATTGTCTCTTCAAATAATTGTTTTAAATTTTCTATTTATTCCTTCGAACTGAGCATTTTAAATATATTTATTAATATAAATTTTTCCAGAATTTGATTTTATTTATTTGAATTGCGTTCTTTCCGAAGAATATTTTGTAACCCAGACTATGATGCATTTGAAAACTGCATATATTAAAAGAGAAATTACAGTAAAGCACAGTTAACACGTCTTTCAATGTTCCGTTCAGAAAAGAAATATATAAATAAGAGAGATGTATAACGGACATTTTAACATAGGATGACTTGCATACACTGCTTTAAACAGTTTAATCATTGTGCCCTTTGCTTTACACAGTTTTATCCTACATTTGGTTTCTTAAAATGTTATTCATATTTTAGTCAAATATTTTATTTTTGAAATCGCAAGAATCAAATATTATAAGATTAAAAAGTTTTAAATTAAAAAAAAAGTAGAAATATTAAATTTTACGCAAAAATTTATTTTTTCTTTTCTTTTTCTTCAGGCATTCTACTTTATTCTTGCTCTTTTTCTTTAGGCATTCTGCAAGTATATTAAAAAGCATCCAACTTTTCGAAATAATCTTGGTATTTCTGACAATCATTTTAAATAAAGTTATCGCCTTCCATTTCATAAAGGCCCACAAACGTGGTAGAGAGTAAAAACAAACGTAGCCCCCGAGTGGTAGAGAATCGTTGAACACTGGTAGTTCACTCCGGGGTTCGAATCCCGGTAAACGGGCTGGTTACATGGGCGTTTTCTTGGATTTTCTCATGTGCACTTGTGTATGCTAGCTGGTTTCTTTTAGAAAGTTCATAACGAAGTATTTGGTCAGAGCCTTTATCAGTCTTTAGAGGCTAAACATTTTGAAGGTATGAGATGAAAGGAAAGTCTGGTTTCATCAAGAGGTTTTGGTTTATTTAATAATGCCTAAGGGAAGGGATGCCTTCGTGGAGGACTTTCTAAGGGAAACTGGCTCACATACATGTTACATATGGGGAAAACCACGAAAACGCCCATGCAGACAGCCCGCTCGCTGGATTCGAACCTCGGACCGAACTACCAGTGTTCAGCGATTTACCGCTCAGCCGCTGTTTCATCAGGAGGAAACAAAAACGTCTTTAGGTGACATCCACATACATCACTGGATAAACTCCTGAATAGTCAAATAATTCGACTGAGAAAATCATGGGATTCTCCATTTATGATACGATATGATGTTCTATAACGTAATTTAAATTTATACAACCATATAGTTTCAACCAGTCGCTCTTCACTTTAATCT